AGGAGAGGAGAGTAGAGAAGACAAGAGGAGAGGAGAGGAGACAAGAGGAGAGGAGAGGAGAGAAGAGAGGAGAGAAGAAAAGAGGAGCTCTGTGCAAAACATCAATCTTTAACGATCTACCCGGGGATTGAACGTAGCTTGTGGTGGATAGAAGAGAGTAAACTGTCAGTTCAGGGGGATAAACTCATCCACGATTCCTGTCCATCACCAGGCATGTTAAAGTCACCGCTGATATACAGAGGCTGACACACCACATTGTCTGAGCTCAGTTACTTCAGACTGGAAAGCCTCTGCAGTGCAGCTGTACAGACCAGAGCAGCAGCATGCAGAGCACTGCAGCCAAAAGGCAGACAAAAGAAACAAGCTCAGAGTAAAGGTGTATTTCCATGGGAACATGCCAAATTGTGACTTACAGAGAGATTACATTACTCTCAAGGAAACACTGCCTTCATTAGTTTTTGTCTCATTAACTAATAATAAAAAAATCTTTTGTTTGGGATCCTTGAAGAAAAAGCATTTTGATCTTATGTATATCACCAATCATCTTTGGAACAAGGTCAACAGAGGGTTAGGAAGCACCTAGACTTCATGAGCTGATGAAACAATATTGCATATTAAAGGCATTTTAAACCCAGTATTGCATCAGTAAATGTAAACGGATAGCTGTGTAAATTGATACTGCACAGCACATCTCTTCACTCACTATTGACAGGACCGGTTGGTGCTAGACAGTCAGGTAACACCTGTCTTTAAACCTTCTGGATGAAACTCCAAATATTTCTAACAAAGAAAACACACACACACACACAAGGCAGAAAGAGTGAGCTGTTAGCTGCCATGCAAACTGGTGAAATGGACCCGTCACGTCTCATCCTGGACTTGATGCTCCTGTAAGTGTCAGAGCGTTCGTGTGAGACGCTTTAATTGGTGATTGTGCTGCGCTCACTCTTTTCATCCCCGAGTGCAGTGCAGCAAGAGTGTTTCTGGTTCAACAGCACCGTGTTGTGCAAGAGCTGCCAATTGGAGCCGGAGCTACTGCATAGTCAGTTGACCCAGGTGAATGATGATTGTACCCTTTTCCATTGATGACATAAACTCGATGCCAGCGGGTCTTTTGACCTGTGTAAAAGGGGCTTTACAAACTGCACAGACAAGATTTCGCCACTGTAAAAATATCAGCTTGTGTCTCCATCACAACTTTTTAAAATAAACAAATTTCAGGAATCTTTACAAGATTATGTAAAATAAACAAACAAAAAAACAAAAACAAACATTTGTTAGTATTTTCACATATTAATATCAGTACCGCCCCCAAAAGTCCAGTATCGGTTGGACTGTCAGATTTAAATCATCACAACTAGTCTGGAAGCCGGTTGTGGCATCACAGTCAACAGTAATACAAAAGCTTTCATTTCTGTATCAGGCATGTAGCTGGCATCACAAAGACATACAAGTCATGACCTTTTTAAATTATTTCTTTATTTATATATATTTATTTATTCATCTCAGTTTGGTTGATATTCTTTTTAATCATTGTTGTTGCACTTTAGTATTTTTGTACTCAACAGAAATGAACATAAAAACAAAACAAAAAAGAAAAAAAGAAAAGAAAAAAAAATTGACAAAATGAACCAATAGAAAACAGAATGAACCTAAAACAGGAGTGGAGCAGAGAGCTGGCTTGCTGAGAAGGGAGGCCGGGGTGGAGCAAAACGATAGAAGTCAGGGATGGTAGAGTTAAGACAGGAAAAGAAAAAGGGGAGGAGATGGGTCAGTCTGATCAGGGAGATGTGTGTGAGGCAGCTCTCTCCTCCCCATTACCTCTGAATCTGGTGCTGTGCTTTCCATTCACTCGAGCTGTCCCTTCCTGTGTGCCTCTGCTCTTTCCCCCCTCACAAGGATCTGAAACAACAGTTCTGGTACTGGTCACGGTATCAGACGAAGTGGAGCCTCTGGTCTTAATTTTAGTGTTTCTATCCTGTCATGGGACAAGAGTCATGCAATGTCTTCCATTCCAGCCATTTCCTCCCCAAAAAACCCTACAAAGTACTCAATTCATTCTCTTCCAGATCTGTTTTGGCTTGGTGTAAACAATGAGAGAAAACGAGAGGAAAGATCTGAAAGAGGAACAAATGAGCTGGAGGGGAAAGTTTGATGAAATGAGGAAAAGCTTCTTCTGCCCAATGAGACATCAACTGACTTTTGGGAAGAAACAGAAAATGCATCAGATCCAGTTAATTTCATGAATCTGTCCCACTCCACCGTTTACTCCTGTATGCACTCTTGTTTAGAAGCTAATTACATCACATCTGAGTAAGAGCGAATGCTGGTAAACAGGAAGTGACATGATGTGAATGGAAACCACAGGTGCTGCATGACAGCACCTACAGCTCTCAGATGCATATAGCAAACAATATGTCAACCATGCAGCCAGGTACTGTGAAATCTGGCCAGTATAAACACATACAAGTGGAGCTATATTCTTTGCACCAGTCTGTTGCTGGACAATTATAGACTCAATATGCAGGGGTAGAGTATATGGGAGGATAAATAGAGAGAAAATAATAAAACTTAAAAAAAAAAAAAAATCTAAAAGAAACAGGGGGAGGGTTTCAATCCTCTGCTGTGGTCCCCAGTGTGCTGCAGCCTCCATCTGGCTGTGCTTTAGCCTCATTCGGCTAAGGGTGCACAGACCATGGTAGACATGTTTAAGGTGGGCGCACCTTGCCCTGCTCTGACCACAACCTTGTATTCCTCTGCCGTGGAAGAATTTAAACGATTCCTTCCTATGGTCACCTCCTGGAAATGTTTCCCTTTTATGGTTTGGAGGTGTGTCCAGGTGTATCCAACTAAGACAGGATCCATTAACCATTCATGAAACGTTGCTTCCTCCGATCATCCCTTACAGGCTTGGGAGGTTTGGGGGGTGAGGAGTAGGAGGAGGAGAGGGGCAAAGCAAGGAGCGCTGAAACGACATAAGTTAAAGAAAAGCAAAAGAGGGGAGAGGGCGGTTGAGTAATAGTAGTTGTAGATTCCTCCTTGGTTGCCATAGTAACAAGGTTAGCTTGGAAGGAGGGGGCCATGTCCGTAATGCTTCGTCTGATCAGAAGCCGATGTAATAAAAGGTGGTGGGCGGATCACAGCAGACAGGTAAGGGCAGTAAGAGAGAGAAAGAAGAGGGTTTGTCCGTCTCCACACTTGTGATGTTTAGGATGATATGTCAGCTATTTTACAAGTTATTCCCTCGTTTTTTGTCTTTTTTTTCTTCTCTTTTTTAGAGTGTCAAGTCTCTGTAGCACCCGAACCAACCCAGACAAAGCCCAAAGCCTGACCCTGTATAGCCTGCCGCAACTACCCCATTAACAGAAAACAGGCCCAACATCAACAAGAATGACAGTCACAACAACATCAACGACTGAAATGATACTTTTAAGAGCAACACAAAATAATTACTCTCCTCTTATTCAAGTGTCTCGATATAATAATATTAAAACAAATAAGAACAATCTTTTTTTACGAGACAGAAAGAGCACTGTCTCTCTTCTCTCTGTCCTCTTTTGGCTAGAAATCTCAAAGATTCATAAAACAAAAAGAAAAACACTTTGAAGACATCCAAAAATACAAATGATAAACAAGACCAATATAAAAAAGCCTCCCCAACAACATCTAAAAACAAAAAAGTAACAAAAAAACAGAAATTGCAATAGCGTTCTATACATGGCATCACTGTACAAGGAAAGGAGCAAATGTCTGGTAAAACTACCCACAATGCAATACACTGTCACTGACATGGGTAAGGAGGAAGAGGGATGGAGAAAAGGGGGAACACAAGGTGGGGAAAGTTAGGGTCGGAAGGGGTGGGGCTAGTGGAATTGAAAAGCGGGGTAACAGCATGACAGAGAGCGAGGGACTGTGGAGAGGGGTGGAAACAGACAGAGAGAGAGAGAGGATAGCTTGAACCGAAAGTGCAGAATTACTTAAGTAATCAAAGAACAATGTTGTCTTCCTTGCAACACAGAACTGTTTTTCCTTTAATAATAACAATAATAATAATAATAATAATAGTAATAATATCCATTATAATAAAACTTCTTTTACAGAAAACAGTAATAACAATAAGAGTAACAATATTGACCATAATGCCTTCATGGACATTAGCCGTAAAAATTAATTTTAAAATAAAATAAAAAAAGAAAATGAATGCCAGAACAACAACAACAACAAAAAAAAAAAACCCAAAAAAAACAATGAGAGCTGGTTTGTCCTGTGCGATGTCACTGAGCTCCATCTTTGGAGAGAGCGTTTTTGTTGCCCAATTGGAGCCTGACCCAAAACACCCGCCACCCGGCCAAAAAGTGACCGCCGCCGAGATTTCAGCCCGCTCCGGAATGATCTGCTGCAGGTCAGCAGGAGGGGGGAGAGAGGGTGGAGCAGACTGAACCTCATGGATACCTTTCCCCTATGCTCACCCCTTCTTCTCAGTCATGCTCTCTCTCGCTCTCACACTCTCACTCACACACACACACACACACACACAATCACACACACAATCACACACACAATCACACACACAATCACACCTAATGTGAATACTTTGGGTTTGTGGCAGCACTGTGTATGTTGGACTCCATGGTCTTGCGAGTGTGACTGTATCAATTCATTGGCCAATGAGGCACATAATGAAGTATGCCAACAGTTAAGAGTACGAAGGATGAAAGGGGAGGTTTAGGTCAGGGCAGCGGGTGGGTGTGGGACGGGGGTGGGGTGGGCTAGGTTTGTAAGGGGAGGAGGTGAGGGGGTCGAGTCGAAAGAGGAGAGGAGTGGAAACCCAATCTACCCACGATGGGGAGTGAAAAAGAGCAGACAAACTGCGACAATGAATGCTGGATGTCTGTGCAGAAAATGCTGGCACTTTGACCTTTGAACCCTGACGCCCCACCTGTGACCCCCCCACCCCTCTGATGTCTACACCCACCCACACTCCCCCTCTCTCACGCAGACTGCCCTCCCACGGACAGATGGAGACAGACAGATGGACGTAGAGTGCCCCCTGTTTGGGCAAACGACGGTGGTTTGGCGTGATGCTGCTCAACTCAAGTCAACACAACTCAGGATGGCTGATATGGACCGCTGTACACAGGATACACACTTTCCTACAGAAAGACACAGGGAGAGACGAAACAATATTATTATTAACAATATAGTTTTGCTTCTACTATTTGATTTTTCTTATCATCTTAGATCAAAGGCTCAATAAAAAATTACCCATAATATCAGTCCATTTATCTTGTTCACAATATCACAACAAAGATTTTCACTGCATGTCTAACATGCTTACATGTTATACTAGTATTAAAATAACTCTTAAAAATCTGGATTGGACTGGGTCATCGATCTTTAAGGGGGCACTCCACTAATTTTACACCTGAAGATCAGTCTACTTGTCAGCAGCAGTACTACTAGCCTCTGAGGACAGCTGTATAATGCTTTCTGTGGCATCGGCAGGCAAGGAAGCTGATGATATCATCAGTGTTGTCTCAGCTTAGACTCTGAGACTACAAATTTTTAACAGAAGGTTTCTGTAACAAACAGGATGTGAAGTTACAACTCAGGATATCTAAGCCTTTGCTGCTTTGATTTTGACTATCCGCTTTTCTAATCTGTCTCTTATGAGGCCCTTGACTTTATAGAAGTTAAAAAAATTATAGTGAACTACTGTACAGTTTTCACCCCCTTGGACTTCATTATGTTTTGTTTTATGCAACTAAATCACAGTGGATGTATAATATTGAGGATTTTTGACACCTGATGAAATAAAACAATTTACTAACTGATAAAGAAAATGAAGAACAAACAGATAAAACAAAAAATAACAGATTGCAGAAATAATCCCTCCCTTTACTACAGCAAAACTGACTGCAGGTAATAACTGGACAACACATCACCTCTGTCCAACCAGAGTGACACATTATTTAAGTTAAATATGTCTGTATGTCTGAGGTCTAGATTTCTGTAAAACCTATATCTCATGGATAAAGATACATTGTAAACAAATCAGCACCCAGTTAGCAAGTGGATTAATTTGTTGCCACTTTAATATTTGAGAGTCTTTGGGTTGTATTCTTGCTGGTTTTGGTTTGATGCCAAAAAGCCACTGGGATTGAGTGATGTAAAAACAAAACAAGAAACAGAGGGTTAAAACTGTTTACAGGCACATAAAGAAATCTGCAAAGGAGTGACATAAACAGATCAAATGGGCAGATGAAGTGAAAGCCAGGTAATAAATGTCAAGTTTACCATAAAATCAAGGTCAAAAGCACTTAGTAAGCGATTCAACTCTATTAAAAATAAGTTTTACAAAGTAATTTATAGGGTGGTGTGGCACCAAAAGGAGCCTGCCTGATAAGTTTTGGCTGCGGTCCTGCAGTCCTGATACAGCTTGAGGCCACACACAGGGGAGAAAACCGTCTGAGTTTGCAACTGTACATGTTGCTATTAATGTATATGCAGTTGTCAAAGTTGTTCTTGTATAAAAAGAAGATAATCTCTTACTAACAAACCTTTGCTATGTTTGTGTGTGTACCTGTGCTAGACCCCAGCCTGCTCCATGCTGTACTGCAGGTCAGGGGGCTTGTAGCTGAGGAGCATGTCACTGGTGCAGGAGGAGGGGTAGCAGGCTGCCGCGTGGAGGTCCCCTTCGACATCACACACTGCATGAGAAACGCACGCATCTTTTAGTGATCTGGACAAAGAAAATCCACACATTGTTTCAGATATTTTCATGTCTCCTACTGACCTGACTCTTCCCGCTGGTGCAGCTGCTGGCTTCCTGTCAGTGACGTCTGGCTGAGGATGTCTGACATGCGAGCGGAGCTTAATGCCTTTCCAGCCAAAAGGCTCATCCCAGACATGGGCTCTGCCTGGTCCTGAGCAGAAAGTGAATAACAGATTTAGAATGAAATTTAATGAACAGCTTCTAGCAGCCATGATGACTCAGAACTTTGTTTGGATGATTGGATATGCTTATAGTGTATTGATGCCTCCAAAAAACATCTAACTGAATGTGACTTCTTGGTTCATTCAGTCATGCAAACATTTTATTTCTTCCTTCAGCTATCATCCCACTAAATGAGCTCGCTCCAACACTACACTGGTAATGGCAATATTGGAGAATAAGCAGATTCTCATACCCAACAAATATTAACATGCCATACAAATGTTAGATTGTTTCTGCCAATGCTTTTGCATGCTATCACACTTAAATTACACTGAAAAGCACTTTGATTAGCTTTTTTCATGCTGCAGACTTACTACAGCTGCTCATAACAGAATGTGGTCAATCTGGTCTAAGTGAATTATCAGCAGGCTTTCACTCACATAGGCATCATCACAGGTCTGGATGGTGTGGTGGCGCTGTAGCTGTCCACGGGACCTATAGGCGTCACCCTGGGGACCTCGTGAATAGCCCACACCATTATGATCAGGCACCTCCATGGCCTGCCCCGGGGGCCTGCACTCCACATGCTCAGGTTCTGATAGAAAACGTAGGTTCACACTGTGTATTCAATTTTTTTGTCTTATCTTAATGTCTGAGTTCTTTTAATGCAAGCCAGCAACACAAAGGTGATGGTAAACAAAAAATATTTCAGTCGGTCAGGATACAGGACACTGGACTCTAAATCTCTATAGTGAGTTTTGAAACAGCCCTGTTAACAGGTCTCACCTCTAGTTGCTTGAGCACTCCTTATGTAGCCGCCATGCCTGTGTGTAGGGGAGCTGTAGGGTGGGGTGCCTCCTCGGGGAGGCCCCAGGAGCTCATGACCTTCTGCCGCCTTGGCCAGCAAGCCCTCGTGTGGGTGGTGGTAGCCAGCCGGCACCTCATCCTCCTCCATGCTCTCCGAGTGAGGTAAGCTGGAGCAAGGTGCCTGGGCTGGGTGCTGCTGAGGCTGGACCTCCGGGGTTCGAATCTGGAGTAGGTGGAGGTAGTGCTGGCCTCCGGAGGCACCTTGTGGCGCCGGTGGCTCCAAGCTCTCACCCTGGCTCAGCTGGTGGAGAAGCAGCATCTCTCCATACTCTTGGGGTGGACCGCTGGGTGGTGTGGGGGGTGCTGGACATGGGCGGGGGCTCTGCCTCTTCAGCAGGGCAGCCAGGTCTTGGGGGGGCAGCCTGGGATCAGCATGGCCTGTTAAAGAGTGGCGGGGGGACAGGAGGCCCTGCAGGGTGGGAGTGACGTGCTGTTGTGGGGGGCGGTAGTCCAAAGGAGTTGGGGAGAGCAGGGCCTGCTGTAGTGTAGAGGGGGTGCCATAGCTGCCAGTCCCCACCGCCCCGCTCTGGTAACCCTCCAGGCTGGGGACTTTGAGAGAGGCTCCCTGCAGGTAGGGACTAAAAGAGCCAACCACCCCGGAAGCGCCCCGAGAGGCAGCTGCGTCGCCAGAGAAGAGGTGGGGATTGAAATGGGCCTGGTCGTAGCCCGATGTGAAGCGGCCAAGGCTGCGACTGGATAGGAAGAGGGAATGCAGAGGATAGTTAGCTGCCTGTTGTCGAACAGCAACAAGCTCCCAGTCCTCTTTAAGATGCAAGTACATCACTGAGCTTTCAACAATCTACAAGAGGACTTCATCAAGTCACTGCACAAAGCTTAGCAACCATTCGGGTTGGGTCCAGGTAAGGACACTTCCAAAGGATAAATTTTGATTATTGTGTAATTGAAGATTGCTACATGTTCTCTCAGTGAAGGCGGTCCTGGTTACAGGGGACTGTTCATGGGATGATTATATCAGGGGTCACAGGATGACTGATGACCTATTCCAACAGGTGGGACCTCTACATATACTGTACTTCTAAAACACATCCAACCACTCACCCAGCTACTCTGAGGCGGAGAATTTGTTGAGGATGTCATCTCAGGCAAAGTCGATGTAGGAATTTTGTTAATTTTCAATACTGGTAACAAATAATGTCCTTATTGTCTGCCCCCTTATACATAAAATCTCTGGCCTGAGCAACAGTATTACTGTCTGAAGCTTCAAAATACAGTTTATAAGAAAAAAAATGTGCACATGGCAGAAATGTAACAGTGAGAAACATACAATCATACACAGAAATACACCAAATAGCATGCAGGTGTCTATTCAGGGTGGCAAGGTCATGGAAAGTAATAAAACAAAATTAAAAACAAGAAGATGGAAGGAGATGACACAGAAACAGTCCAGTGGTATTGTTGGGAAGGTTTGGCAGCCATCAGGGGACGTGGTGACAGGATGGGTGGGGTCACCTGTGCATCTCGGCGTTGTCTGCGCTCAGCTGCTTCCCGAGGACCCTGTGTCCCCCTGGCGTGGACAGAAAGCTGCCCTGTCTCTGTGCCCCACCTCCCAGCTCGACTTCTTGCACCTGAATGGTCACCTGGACAAACAGTCAACGTTGATATCCATTATTGAGGATCACTTATGAATACTTTAGGGAATAAATTAAAACAACACATGTAATCAGCAGCCGAGACACAATTGACTTAAATTGGCTGCTTGTAGTCACCTGCTGTTGTTGAGGTACCGCCTGTGCCAATGGGACAGTGGGGCGGGCAGATGGTGCTTGTTGATTTGTCGGTAGAGTGACTCGAGGCAGGGCTGTGGGAGGTGGGCTGCCACTCTGGCCCTGGTAGAGCGCTGGAGCACCGTGCTGGTACTGCACTGGTGATGGACCTCCTAGGAGAGGAGAGGAGGAGCGGAGTTAAAACTATGGCCAACGTTTCCCTCTGGTAATGAGAATAAATTTTCATGAAGATTTAACCAGATCAAGTTCAAAATCTTCAAAGTTCAAAGCATAGATTGAGTCATGAACTGTTGCTCATTTTTCTTTCCAAGTTTCCATAGTTTAGCTGGTCTTCAATCTATCTATTTAGGCTTGGAGAGGTACAGACTAAATTTCTATTACTACTTTTCAGTCATGGTTAGGCTTGGTCTCAACTGGCAACATAAGTAATGGTACCAGTACAATAAAATCCGTTTTTATCTCCACGTAGTAATTACAAGTTATTGTGTTCTTGATGACGGACGTGTTTACTCACCTGCTGCCCCTGTTTTCACTTAAAAAAACATATTCATTGATTCAGCTTAAACTACACCTTCTGGTTTGTTATTCATAACACAATGTCAAAAAATTAACGTCTGTCAGACGTCAATGTTTGTGTACAGACGACAAAAGCCAGTGAGTAATCAAGAGTCAGACACTTTCAAAACACTAAACTGTACAACCAGATATTCTGAATCCTGAAGCCGCTTTAAAAAATTACATAAGTAAGTAAATAAAAATGTAATCAGTGGCAATTAACCATGAAAAACAAAACAAATGTATGACTGAGCAGTTAAATACACCTACACCAGTTACAATCTAAGTATTTAAGCACTCAAGCGATGGTATTACTAACCATGCCCTTGCATTATGCCTGCAGAGCCAGGCGGAGGGCTCTGATTGGGCTGTCTGAAGAGGTGGTTGCTGGGATGTGTTGGCGGAGGGCTGGAGGGCTGGATACGCAACCTGAGGGAGGACAGGACAGAGTAGGAGAGGAGAAGAGAGAGATACGACAATGATGTAACACTTCAGTCGATAGCGCTGCACCACAGTATCAAGTTCATTGTTCACTGTTCAATAGCTGATGAGTAATGTGTGTTTGTGCATGCGTGTGTTCACCTCTGGAGCTGGTGGGTTAGGTGACTAGGCTGGCTCTCTCCATGGCCTAAAGACAGACCCTGCAGGTACAGAAAAATTAAATTAGACTACAAGCTTCAATATAACATGATGTTAATGTGGTTATGACTGTGTTAGGCTGACTGCAGCAGTTGATACATGCGCAAATATTAAGTGTGTGTGTCCTAAAGACAGGACTCAGCTGAGGAGACAAATAAGGGCCCAGTGGAGGATATCCAAGCCTCAGGTGAACCAAATCAATAGCACTTTCTATGAAGCTTATACCTGTGCTTGATAGATTACAGCATAGTACAATATAATACATGCATAATATAAGTAACATATAAGTTGCTTAAGCTTTCATGATGCAATGCAAGGATGATAACAATGCTTTAAAAGGCCAAGTAACACAACCCAATCCATCCTGCATAAACTGTTACAAACATCATGGTTCTTTCTGTGGTCAGCATAGTTTTGCTTGTAATAACATATTTATGACATGACACCTCTTTGTCAGCTTCATATACCTGGATTTGCTGGTGGAGGATTTGTTGCTCTTGCTGGTAGAGGATATGCTGCTGCTGGGTGTGCTCCAGGAGTCGCTCATCCTGCTGGGCAGCGTACATTTTCTGGAGCTGCTCACACTCCTATTGGATCACAGATGTGGACAGCAAATTTTAAATATCAAATATTTAAAATCTAATATTTGCTAGCTAACACGGGAAGTCATTTGAAATACCTAAAAAAGTAAATAAAAAAAAATTGGAGGGCAGTGTGTTGGATCCAGAAAAGCATCCTACACTTTAAAAAAGTGATTCAACAAAGGATGCAGTTGAGTTTTTCAAACCTCATCAAGGATATCTGATGAAAAAAAATAAATACTGGGCTTCAAAATTTGATTTATTATTCTTAACTTGCTGGTAATTTATTGACAGAAAACAATCAATTCATTAGCAGTAAGTGGTAATATGTAACCTATTGCATACTATTGTAAGCAATCCCCATCTTGCTAGCAAATCCTGCTGCAGCAAATCTCAGCACTAACCGTTTTGCTTTGTGTAATTAGTTCATGATGTTTAGTGTTCAGAGGCAGCACTTTCATCTACTTTAAATCTCCCAGTGCAACCAAAGTTTAACACCTTGCGTCATCGCCTGGCTGATTGTTAGGCTAATGCTGCTCGAACGGCATGAACAACACAGGTGCACACGTACAATTAAGCTAATGCTTTGTCTAATGATACATAATCACATTGAGTTAATACAACTAACTGTGCTGCAAATGCTAAAAGCACATCTTTTCACAGCATTCCTGCTACATACAAGTGAGATTTGGACACCTACTATCTTTAAGCACTTTGTGAAGTTCAGATTTAGGAAAACTACAGGCATGTCAGCTTGTCTGATCAGCTACAACACATATAATAAACTCCATGGTCATATAATTGTCAATGAACTTGTTAACGTCGAGTTTCTTCCCCATCTCTTCAGGGGCCTTTACCTGGGTGTAGGTCATATGTGTTAACCTCTCCTCTAGCCTTGTTAACCCTCTTAACACTGGAGAGTAAAGATAATCCCAGCATGTCAGTGCATGACTAAGGTGAAGCCCCCACTGCGAACATGATGATTATCTCGCTCCCTACCTACGCCTCCTACTGGGTGAGGTAATCTCATTGCAGTGTCACTGCGAATGATGTGATGTCTCAAGAAGCATCTTGAGGTTTTCTCAGGTGAAAGACTTTGCTTGACCTCACCTGAAGAAATTCTCTTCACTGTGCGTCAAGATTACAGTGAGTCTAAATTGTGTCAGCATTTTAATAACAAGGCTCAAACTGTGAGAAAAATATCCCAGCTCTGTTAAATCTGTGTCTGTGTAGCTAAAATTTTTCTTCTTTTTTTTTTTTACTACTTTAAATTCAACATTGTCTCAGCAAAATACATCCAGGGTATTGCTTGGTTAGTGGGTTATTTGAAAACCTCAAATTAATCAGAATTGACAAGTATGAGATTTATGCATGTCATGATGGAAAGTTCACCAATCCTGTTCAGGGTTTTCCATCAATAGCTTTTTATTGTAGCTTGTCTGCTTCTGCTCTGCACTGAAATGGCAGCAGAGACCAGAGGAGAGAGCATGATGAGGCAGAATGCAACAGTCAGTCAGCCAGTGGGAATCTTATCACAGTGGCCCACGTTAGGCTAGGCTATTAAAACTATCTGCTGCATTACAGAGTTTAACTCCTCTCATAAAGCACAGATTTGCAGTGCTGGGGATCTTGGTTTGTATTCCCAAGAGAGTCAGAATTGCATCAGAATAGCTGCAGTGTATCACTTTTTGCCTCCAGAGCCGAATGTGTTGCATCACTGTTTGGAAGTCGTACTTCTGTGAGCAGTTAAAAAAGGCATAGGGGTTATAGAGAAGCAGAGTACAGTCCAGAGAGATATTTCTGAAATCTCTGCACTTGGTGAGGTAATTGTTCAGTCATTGGTATTGATCAATAACCTTATCCCTCCATAGAATAATGCTTTATTTTCTCATATGGACACTGAAGGAAAATGAATACTGTAATTTCTCATAAAAAGAAAAGAAGAAAAAAATGCATATTTATTGTTGTTATAATATTAAAATCCCCTAAAAAGATTTCTAGGAGAAAATGAGAATTTCACATTATTTCACTGCCAGATGATCTACATTTATTTTTCCAAACCTAAAGATATGCAGGCATAAAATTCTGAACATACCAAATACATCTAACACTAGCACAACCAAGGTCAGGAATGAAATGTCAATGTGAAGCCGGTGTTCTCTGGTGATTCGTGAGGACAAATTAATTTTCTTCCTGTTTCATTACTACCAGCTGTTTGATTACCCAAAAACTTGTTGATGTTTTCCCCTGGTATGCTTTGATACTGAGTAGAGTGATGTACCTGCTTGAGTTGCTTAATGAGGCTGCTGTTCTCTAGATGAGCCTTGAAGGCCTGGATGGTGGCGGCGCCGTCAGAGAACCGTCTGACAGGTGAGAAGCGCTCCATGGGGAGATGAAGGGTGTTACAGTCCTTATAGCTGGATCTGAGGAGGGGACCACAGGGAGCAGACACAAACACGTGTGTACACAAATACACACACACGCATGCACGCACACGCACACACACACACACACACACACACACACACACAGTGACATAACACAGACACACATGAGACACAAACACATGACAAGCATGAGCTCCTCAAACTTACACAAAACATTACAAGTTTAAGTATCTGACAGTGAAACATTTAATGTGTAGGAAACGTAAGGACCTCAAAATTCACACAACTTATATGAACTGAATCCATGCATAATTTCATCTGTGCTCTCAATCATGACAAAATGATGATCAGTTTAAGGTAAGTGACATTAAATACATACCATTGTTAATGGAAGTTCGTCTAAAGAATTCTTCTTGAGAAATTTTTCTACAGATAAGCTCTTTCCTCAACTTACCATTGATGACAGACTCTGTGTGATGCTTCAGAGTTTTCATTGCTCAGTAAAGGCTGAATAAACAACTACTGCATGTTGGCATGCTTCATAGAAAACTAAATTACTGGACAAGACGCATAGCTGACAGCTGGCATCGTCATCACACCAGTCACAAGAATGACATTTTTCATCAAAAAATGAGTCCAGTTATAACACCATCTCCAAAAAGTGCTCCATGAAGAAAGATCGAACCTCTAGCTTTACACATCGATTCTACCTCAAAAGAGCATGCCTTCTTTAACAACTGGCACAAGTTTACTCATCTCAAGCCCTATTTTAGAAAACAGGTCCTGCCTACCACTGCATCTAAATAAAAAAGAACACCAAGCTTCTAAACTGAGTCGAATGAAGATGATACTAACGGGGGACAACAGCTGGAATTAGAACATGGACAACACAAAAAACACAAAGAAATATGGCTACTATGGAGAGAATATACACAGAGATAATAAATTAGCTTTAAGGGGTTCTGCTAAATCTTTGGCGTGAACCTGTCACATACCTGCTCTTTCCAGGTTTGTGGGGAAGAAAGTTATTTTGAATCAGTTTACTGGTGATGTGGAGGGATGTCTGCCCTGTGCCACACCCTCCACCTCCGACGCCACTATTGACAAAAAATATCCTTCCTCTTTGGAAGGTGCACAACCTTCAGCTGGTGCAAGTACTTCATCAGCAGTGTGTGTGTGCGTGTGTGTGTGTGTGTGTGTGAGATCAGCTGTGTGTATTTGTGTGAGAGAGAGAAACAGAGGGTTATGCTTGGTATCCCCCTCATTTAATGTGTGCGTCTGTGTGTTTGTGTGTGTTTGTGCGTATACAGCTCGGAGCGGGCGTGTCCCCTCACCGGGTGTGTATGTCGGGGGCCCAGCCCCCCCTCTGGCGGGGGCCCTGGGGCCGCTGTGACTCTGCCGAGGGCTCGCCATGCGATGTGCTCATTAGCGCGTGCGTCGTGTGCCGCTTGGAGCGGTTCGCCAGGTACCTGGGCCGCAGGGAGGGGGGAGGACGGGGGTGAGGGTGGGAGACAGGAAGCAGCGCTGGTCAGCTCTCTGTCCTCATTGGCTAATGGAGACAGGGGGGGGAGGCCCACCCCTTCCCACCTCTGCCAATGGGTGCCATCATTCATATCATCTTAGCCAATCAGAAAAACAAAGTAAAATTACACCACAGATGGATGTTAAAGCTTATGGGTATCCCACAGCCCCCAGCTTCCAATTTAAGGACTGGACTGGTTGCCATTTGTAATCACTGGTTTTGCAAGCTTCAGAGTTAGCAAAGCTGTGTGAGAAAGAGTGAGAAAGTCGGGAGGATAATTTGGCACTTACTGAAATGAGAGAGATAAAGAAGCTCTTGGCCAAAGAGTTTGAGAGATAGGAGGGCTGGATTTGGCAGATTCAGTTTGGAATTGTGGCAGAAGGCACTTGCGCGATGGAGAAAGGAGGAGAGATGGGATAAGCACCACAGCAGAGTGGCCACCTCCCGTGGGAAAAAGCAGAGCAGCCTCAAGGCACTCACTCCCAGCAACCCAGGACACCAGCGAAGTCTACAGAGGCTGCTGTCTGAAGAGGACCAACTGGGAAACCCTAACCTGGACTTCTGAACCCAAAACCACATCTCCATATACCAAACCTGTGACTAGTTTTACACTGGTTCTGCCTAATCTGTCACACTAAGCCTGATACATATTCTGCTCATTCTATCAAAGCTCTTACTTTGGAAAATTTTCTAAATTCTTGCATATCTTTATCTCAAAAAGTGCACAGTTCTGCTGTTTATTGTGATAGTTTTTATGCTTTGTTGTTTTTTTTGTTTTTTTTATTAACACATCTCCCCTACTCTAAAATTTGCACACTAAGCTTCTGGTATAAAAAAAATCTAGTGTGTCCTTCCTTAACTCAACATTCATAGAGAACCCACTGTTCTACAGTCACAGGTTAAGGGCCTTCCAGAGCATCCAGTTTAGGCAGCACCTCTGTATAGTATATCCCATCACCAAAAACCATCACCGTGGGTTACCTCTGTACCGCCTCTTGGTCTGGCTCTCCATCCGAACCCTCCTCATCCACCGGAGCTACTGCAGGGATCGGGTGCTGAGAGGGGCAGAAAGTTTACTGATCAGCACTCCTACATTTTACATGGTGGGAGAATAAACAAATTGCACACTTACAGAAAGCCTTGGGAATAACATCTATACTCACTGGGCTGGCGACAAGTGGTGAGGGCCCCCGGGGCCTCTTGAGGAGCTGAGCGTGTAGTTGAATGTTAGCCCCACCGTCGGAAGCTCTTCGACCCAGAGGCCCCATGCCATTGAGCAGTTGCAGAGTAGGTGGCTGCAGCAACGACTGCTCCTGGAGCATCAGCAGACACAAGTGGTCAGATTGGAGAGGAAAATCAATAAAATTGATATTTAGACCCTACTAATGCCAACTGAAAGAACCCACCCCCAATCTAAACCAACTCACTGTACCTTGTACTCCAGCTGCTGTGTGGGCTGCAGGCTCTGTGTGGGCATGAGAGTGTGCATTTGGCCCATAGTGGGGGCCAGTGGGGGGAAAGGAGGCTGGGGCACTGCACCGCGTGGGAAACCCGGTGGCAGTTTCTGGAGGTCCTCCTGCATCTCTGTCCTGTTGTGGGAGGAGAAAGAACGACAACAGTAACGGAAACAGTCAATGGTTTTGGTTATGTGCTAGAATCTATTCGTCAACATTAGTTAATGCCTTATTTGGCATAGATTATTTAAATGCACCTTAAATAACCCACACTCCACTATCAACATACCTAAGGTCAGCTGGTGTGTTTGCTTCTCTCCTACTCTCTGTGCTCACAGCCGAAAAAAATGCAACTAATGCAAAAGTGCTAATGCAACTAATGCGACAACAGAAACATCGCTCATTGTAGATTGGAGTGTTGTGTGTTTATGTGTTACCTTTGGTCTGGTACCCCCACAGTGTGCCGCCTCATTGAAAGGTAGCGAGCCATGGCCTCAGGAGACGGCTCCTCTCCTTCATCACTGTCCAGTGCCATGCTGCCATCCGGCTAAACAACAAATACACACACATATATGGTCATTAGTGATGGCCTTTGGAAGTATGTGTTGCGGGCGATTAGTCTAAAGAGGGTACACATTTTTAAAGTATTTCATTTCTAATGTAGATGCTTCAAAATCCAGGTCTTCTATTAAAATCCCTACTGCAATGCAGTGATCTGACGCATTCTTGTGTTTCACAGTGTTTGTGAGTCAGCTTCAAGGCTCTCTGTGTGTACATGTATGTGTGACTGCGTGTGCCTGGTCAATACCAGGTTATACTAACAGTTGTAAACTGTACTAGTAGACCTTAAATAATGGGCCGGCAGCCAGTGACCGATGCAAATCATCAAATATATGAAGACCAAATGTTACTGACTGAATTGTGTTGCAAAGAAGTGTTGCAGCAATGTTTACCAGTTTGAAGCAGTTTATGTTAAAGCCATGGTTGGGATTTCAACTTGAACAAACTGATCCTAGAGTGCTCATCAGACATGATCACTGTTGGCTACATACTGCCAGGCTGACGCAACCAGGTGGACGCCCTACTTGACTCACCTCAACAATCTGGTTCTCTGGGTTGATGAGCTGGACATGGGGAACGGTCATGCTAACAGGATTACCCTGTGGATCTGTCTGCTGGCCACACACCCAAACACAAACACATACACACATAGAAACATGCACATACACAGGTCAAACAGGTCATGTGAGGATTGCACTGATTTTGAAACAATCTTCTTAGTGCAGTGGGATTGGCAGATGTGGGTTAAAGCCAATCAACTCCATTCAGTGGATAGACATGATGAGTACTCTAGGTTCGACTGATCAAACAGTCACATGAAACACTCCACTCTTCAGTGGAGATCATCAAAGAAAAAGCCCAATGCTTCTTTAATAAAAAAAGAGAGAAGAAATCAGTCAAAAGTCAAGTCAAGTTAATTTTACTTGTATAGCGCCAATTCACAACAGAGGTTATCTCAAAGCACTTTTCAAAAAGAGGAGGTCCAGTCCTTCTCTTTATAATATTATTTACAGAGTAGCAACGATTCCCAAAGGTGCTTTCAACAAATCTATTGTTCCTCAAGCTTACAATCAACTTTTACCTTTATGCCAATGAAGAAGCTCTAAATATAGTGACATTTGACCCTAAACAGGTGTGAGCAATACAACCTTTTTCCCCTCTGAAATGAATGTTCCACATCATTTGTGATCCAACAGACCACAAATATACCAGCCAAATTGGGAATAACACTTACAAGGATTTCCATCTTAGAAGAAACCGGAAGCTGACTTAACCTTTGACATCATAACCCACATGAAGAAAGTTACTCAAAATGACTCCTGAACACAACACTCTGAGTACAAATCTTGGTCTCTAGATTACACAATTTGAAACCATCTGAGTTCAAAAGGAGTAGAAAAATACCATTAACTGTCCTACACACTATATTAGTAATTAAACAGAAAAATGCTTAATGTGATTGTCAAGCAAGAAAAATACAACTTCAAGTTGTACATTATACTGTTACTGCTGCAGTGCTGCTTTAAATTAAAACTATGTGAACTAGTGCGTGTGCCCAAATGTACGAGATGAGCTGCCAGAAGGATTTGTATCCCATTTGGAAGAGATAACTACAGAATAAAAACGTACCACACGTCATGCCTGTCAGTGAAGCCTTAAGCCTATTAGGGCAAAGTTCTGTTGTCACAGAGGTGATTCCCAGCTGGAAGAGAGCAACTGCAGCGTCTGACTCAGGTTTTAATGTCATGTGACATGGTGACGTTCCGCAGCGCAGGTGGCAATTTCTAACCAACATGCATTGCTTTAAGTCCAGCATGCATCATGTTAAGTCAGCGCTGTGCAGCCTTGCATTAAGTTGAATGAGCCTACTGCCTGTGTGTAACCTGTGGATGTGACATAGTCCATCAGGTGTTGTGGGAAGGACATCTCCTTCGTGTGTGTGCTAAAACCAAAAAGTGTGTGTTTATCACAGTAATGGCTGTATTGCAAAATCCATGTTGTGACACCGGTGACAGTGACTGCACGGAGTGTTAAGACAGTGCTGTGACCCACTGGCTCTAGGAACCTTGTTTACAGTTATTTAAAACTTGTCACAGAATAAGACAAACTCTCCACACAACTATCAATGTGTCAAAATGGACACAGCAGCTGGAAAAGCCTCTATATATATATATATATATATATATATATATAATAACAATACCAAAGAACAATGACTCACCTGTACAGCATTAAGGGGATAAATGGAGCGCGGCGTGGGCTGGGCAACACGCAGGGTCTTGTGTTTCTTGAGGCGGTCAGCCAGTAGACTGTAGATGGCACTGTAGTGATCATATGCATCTGTTTGTAGGGACTAGAGTGGATGAAGAAAGAGGATAAAAATAAGTTGTTGAGATGACGTTTTGACGAAAAGGCAGTGCTTAAATACATCAGTGCAAATCAGCTGCGTCTGGTCCAACCTGAAGCGTGCGTTCTCGGTCCAGGCCCATCTCAGACATGGCTATCAGCACCTGCTCATTGATGAGCTCTGTGTCTCTCTCTGTCTTCACCTGCTCACATTCTGCTATCAACTGCAAGGGAGAAGAAATGGGGAGAAGAGATGAAGGGGGGGTGGTGGCAAACTGCCATAATGTCAAATGAAAAACAGCACTTTAATTTGTGAGCTTAAGAGGTGCTGGTAAGTGAACAGAACCAGGCTAGCTGAAATCCCATGGTTCCAGTCTTTATGCTAAGCTACCTGGCAGTTGCCTATAACTTTACATATATTTAAATGGACAGATGGAAGTGGTACCAATCTTCTCATCCAACTCTCTGCCAGAATTTGAGTGAATTTCTCAAAATGTCCAACTTTTGCTTTAAAATTATTTTCCAGAAATAATATTTTGTAAATGTAACACATACAGTATAAGTGATATTTGCTCACGAAAGGCTGTCAAGAAGTCACTATCATCTAACTCTACTAACAGTGGCAAAAAGATATGCAACGGACAGCATGGGAGGGATACAATTACACCACACTGAAAAGGAAAATTCAGCAAGTAAAGAATTATTTTGCTTTAGGTTAATGGTCAGTGCATGACGCTACCCAGGAGTCAAGATATCTACTGCTGAATACGTCTAGAGGGGTCTCACCCTGTCGAAGTCTGGATCTGGGTCTCCTTGTCTCATCCACTTGTTCTTACAGATCTGCTCCATGGTTAACCGTCTGCTGGGCTCCAGAACTAACATGTGTCTGATCAAGTACTCACAGTCTGCAGTAACACACAAACATATACATGCATTCTCACATAAGACAACACCACTTGAAATGTAATGTATTGAATATATAGTATATTAAGAATTACTTGCAAAGAAACTGTAAAAATGACCAACAATAGTGTTAATAGTTTGAAAAACAGACATTTATTCCCACATAGTTTTCTTGATTATGGTAGTTCGGTCAGCTTTTGTGGAACAATAATGAAAACATACTGTAAGTAGTCTGCATTTCTTATGACATTTCAAAAGGTCACTTCAAGTGATACTCAACCCATGATCTTTTAATCAGATGCTCACTCCTTGTAGATTCAAATGCTAACTTAAAAAAAATGGTAGCAGAGAAAAGTACAGAGTACAGAGTTGTTGCTGCTAGTTACAACTAATCATGATTTTAAAATGAATCATTTAATGGCATAAATAAATCTCAACTTTCACTAAAATTTTTTCTTAACCCACTGCCTATCTGCTTGTTCAGTTCATTGCATCGTTTCCATTTTGCAGGAGGGGTTTCAATTAATGTTTTTATTCTTTTTCCAATGTGAAATCTTGAAACTGTTGGAATCAAATGTAACATAAATTCATGCCACTGTGAACTGCCACTTTTTAAGAGAGTGCTTGATGTTAACGTAATAAATCTTGGCGGAGTATTCCTCTGAAATTTCTTGGCCCTTTGATGTAAACGAAGCTAGTGAGATATTGCACCAGTTAAGGTGTGGGCTAGAGGAGAAGGTGGTGAGACATCAGACAAAGGGAGTCCTAGTTGACAGAAGTCCTACCTGTGGACATGAAGAAGGGGATACGGAACTTGCCGCTGAGGACACGTGCCCGCAAATTTTGTAGAGTGCTGCCATCAAAAGGCAGGGCGCCGCACACCAACACATACAACACCACACCTAAGCTCTATAGAAAATACAGCAGAAACAAACTATGAGTACACGGTTATTAGACAGAGTTGGGTATCTTATTTTGAGACAAAAACTTGTTCTAGGCTCCTTCAGGATTCTTGTTTCTTTCTAGCTGTGTTGCAGTCCATCGGGGCCTAGTGCATACCTAAAAGTCTACTCACCCATATATCTACTTTCGGTCCGTCATACTCCTTGCCCTCAAAGAGTTCTGGTGCAGCATAGGGAGGGCTGCCACACCATGTCTTCAACAGCTGGCCTCGAGAAAACAGGTTACTGAAGCCAAAATCTGACAGGGGGAGAGGAGAAGTTTATTCAATCTTATCACTTTCCTCAACAGCTTAAATGAGTAAATTCAATCAATTGAGGAAAAATGCTCCAAAGGCACATGCTGACACTTGCCTGCAACCACTCACCAAGAGAGCTCAAATACACTAAATTAAGTTACCCTCCCATACACTCTTAAGTGCAAACACACACACACACCTGCGATTTTGATGTTGAGGTTGTGGTCCAGGAGCAGATTCTCAGCCTTTAAGTCTCTGTGGACGATGTTGCGACAGTGACAGAAATGGACTGCTGCCACAATCTGCTTGAACTTCTTTCTGGCGTCCTTCTCTGCCATACGCCCGTGAGCCACCAGGTGGTCTACAAGCAGGGATGTAATAATTACTTATTGTGATTGGCCAGTGAGCCCAGTCCCGTTGTTGTGCCGTAATAAACACCCCTGCTGCGAAATACAACCCCATGTACATTTGGTGTAGGTTTAATCCTAACCAACCCTCACTGTTCATGCCTAACCCTAAACTTTACTGGGGGCTTTTCATGGCAGGGGTGCTTATTACAGCATAACACTGGTTAAACTCTGTGTATTGTAATATAAGATTGAACATACAGTGTAAAGTCTCTTATAACCAAAACTCAGATTTAGATTATTTATTTAGTAACATTGAGACATTTTAAAGATGAGTGTCCTCAAAAAAATTTTGAAGAAAAGTTTTAATTGGATTTTGCATATTTTTACACCAGTTTAAACTCAACAGGAACCAGAAACACAAGCTAAAAGGCAGAGGCAGTAATAAAAGGGGAATCCACAACAAGCACATCCCTTACCGAATATCTCTCCACCGCTAGCGTACTCTGTGACCAGATAGATCATCCTCTCCGTCTCCATCACCTAAAGACATAAACAAGTGATAACAACCAGGACCTACAAACCCTCAGACAGACCAACATCTAGTGATGGGCGGTTCACCCGTTACGCAACAGAATGAGTAAGCAGTGTTTGGCATACAAACAGTAGGATTTATATAGAACAGAAAACTGCCTGCGTCGTGTTCAACATATGTATGTGTATGGATTTAACTTCAACATTAAGTATATAAATCTTAATGATGGCACATTCTTGTGAGTAAGTGGCAATTTAGACTGAATTGTGTTTAAAACACTGGGATCCGTTTCATACAAGATGCTGGACAAGTTGGCATGTGACAGGTTGGTTTGGTGTTACAATCCCCATACAGCTGGAAAAGTCTGGGTGAGGAAAACAAACAGGAAACTCTTTCTTTCCTCTACTGAGTCTCACCAAAGCAAAGTTCATAGTGAGAGGGTTGTGGTTGTACTGGGCAGCCCCCCAGCTGTACACCGATGAATGTGGAAAAGAACTTTCCCTGGTTAAAAACTGCAATAATTTTCCAGGTACAGGCAGTATTTTTGCACAAATCAGTCAAAAAAACAATGACAGATAACACCAGATCGTGCAAAAGCAACACATTTTGCATTTTGTTCTTTCCCTATTGGGCCATGAGTCTCAGGTGTAAGATCTGAGCAGGGCACCTTGTTTGCTTTGTGGGTGAGTGTGTACCTGGTAGAGGCGGATGATGTGGGGGTGCTTCAGCAACTTCATGATTTGCACCTCTCTGAAGATCTTTTTCAGGTTCTCATCGTCCAGCTGGGTCTTATCCACTATTTTTATAGCCACCTGGAGACAGAGAAACAAGAAAGGGACAGAGGGAGAGATAAGGATGAATGACGTGGTGAAGAGAGAGGGCAAGATTAAGAAGGAAACAGTGAGTGAAGGAGGAGGTGTTCAAGACAGAAAGAAGTGAAGGAGAGTGAACAAAACAAGAAAGATTTCATCTTAAAGCATGCAATGTGTTTACTAGATCTTGAGTTATCTAAATACAGATAATACAGTTCACATAAATGGTATTAAATTACAGGCAACAATTCCAGGGCATGGCCCCCATGCCCCTGCAATATTGCTGTGATGACACAATAATCATAGAAGAGCAAAGTGCCAAGAAAATAACCAGCAAAGAAGGTAAGAGGAAAGTGTGAGTCAGACAGACTCAATCCAACATGACCTGGCACAGCAAACCTATTAACAAAAAAACATGATAAATACGACCAGAAAAATAACAACAAGAAGATACTATAATTAGACGCACGATTGCTTGTACTTCTTAAAGACGAACGGCCAAATTATGTGTTGCCAAACATCGTGCTTTCTTTGTATTCCAGCTTGTTTGGGTAACCTGACCTACACCATGACCTTCCACTGCGAGCACGACTCTTGCGTAACTGCTGAGCCCTCGACAATGGCTCCGGCAGTGTGGACGGTGATGGTGTGTGACAGGAGCTTTGCTCTGCCACTTAGGAATGGGTAGACGACTTTAATGACTTAATCAAGCGCAGCTAATGGGAGTGCCCCAAAACACAGCTCCTGCCAAAAATAGATGAGTGAGTAGGCTGTGTGAAAAAATGAAAAGCATGTGTCCAGCGTCAACACACACCCCAACACAGCCGAGTGCCATCCCGAGTTCCCCTTTTCCTGATAACAGACATGAAGATGAGTCCATCTGAAGCCCGACAAGGCTGACTTCCTGCTGCAGACAGGAAGGGGAAGTGAAGGAGAGCCAAGAGGGGGCTTCTGAGAGCACAGAGCCACATTTAAAAGTGGCATTAATCCAGATCAGTGTGTGTCTCTGTGTAGTTTCCCTTCAGGAGCATTAAACAGTTGTGGAAAACTTGTGTATTGGTAGAGTTAATGTTCCCTCTAAATGTAGTCATTTACAAAGACTGATGTCGGTTGACCAAAGTAGAGTTCAAGTGCAGTTTATTTGATTATCAAATTAAGCGTTTTTGTGGATGAGTTCTTCATTTAAATAGGCGATGATGCATCGTGTGTTTCTTTGTTGTTAAAATGTAAGAGTGCTCTTTCTCTTAAAACTGTGGTGTTTGTACCTGTTATGCTTTTTTACTATGTTCGTTGCACTTCTTGTCCTGAAATGTCTGACCTACATTGCACTGTGGTCCAGGAGGAACAACATTTAATTTTCCTTTATGTTGACATTGAATTGAGTGAGAATGACGATAAAACTGAACTTGAACAGTAAAGAGTACGGTGTCAGAAGCTTTTAGATGCTTCTAACCCACCAAACACAATACATATTGCTTCTGAAATCTTAAAAACAGCCATTTATAAAAACACAGAACATCAGCAAAAATAGTATTGTTAAGTTTTATTTAAAGAACATCCGTCTGTCCAGATTCATAATATACAGTATGTAGTGAAGACTTTGCATGAATTTAATATAGGATATAAAATGTGTTATTTGTGATTATTATAGTGATATATAAATAAGCTTGATCTGACTTGACTTTGTTAAGCTTTGTTTTTCTCCACATATTCCTTCTATGTGTTCTAGGGATATCCCTAATGACTAATTTCTCTGTCAATTAAATAGAAATTTAAATGTACTACTCGACTAGTTTAGAGTAAGAAAACAATCAGAAAACAGTCAAATTTGAGCACAATTTAACCAGGATGACAGTGTCTGCTGGTTAACGATGTAAAATTGGTTAGCAGAGTGTAGCGCAAGTTAGCAACAGTAGCGCCAGCAGTCTTCTTTCTTTGCAGGTTAACGTCCACATCAGGTGATTACATGCCTGACACAGCCTACAAATAATCTTATTTTAATTTTTGTAGATCAAAACACTGCCAAACAATGCTGGTTTTACTAGATATCATCTGCCCCACTTTCCAGTATGCTTGTTTACATCATTCAGGCGTTAGCGGGATGAGAGGGGGGCTGCATAACATCTCATGTGCAATAGTTAACAGGTGTTGTACAATAATAAAAAACGAATAAAACACTTTAATCGGCTAGTATTCCTGGTGAAGACTAGTCAACTAAATAATTGAACGTTGCTACCCTCGCTAATCACGCACATCACAAGCTTGGCCAATAAAGTTGATGGCCAAGCTGATCAAGAGCACAAACTTCTAGCCACGACAGCCGACAAGGCTTCAAATATGCAAAGAAGCTACAAATTCTAAAACATGGGTGCTTGACATACCATATCTTCAACCCGGCAACACAGAAGATCAATATAATTGCCCAAGATTAGTGTCACCTATTCAATATACAACCAAATGTGAAAACCGACTTTGATCTTTGACCTTCGTTCATCCTTGATTCCAGGTGAACGTTTGTGCCAAATCTGAAAAACTCCCTTGAGGCCTTCATGAGATATCGCATTCACAAGAACAACTGTCACCGGCGCGATGGCATAAAAACAATCCCTGTCATGTATGTTTAAGTGTATATGAGGTATTTTAAGCTCCAGGAATCTATTCTTGGCATTGGCAGTCATCCAGTTTTGTTGATGTAATCACTCCCCTCTGCGTCTTCTGGAGGGTAACAATAGGACATCACACACACACACTCAAACATATGCCGGCATCTACACATACATATTATGCTCATTTTAAGGACATCGAGTCCTTTTGAAAATGAGGATACAGAGCTACTCTGGCTAAATGCTGCAATTGTACAGAGGCTTGATGCGTGTCTAAATATAAAACCTTGTGCCAGGGATATTGCTCGATGACTACATGTCGAAGATGGACACAATGGCACAACTGGGAGTTAAACTGACACTGTTGACTCTCAGGCTTTACATACTGGTCACTCAACTGCTGCTTCTCTTACCACACAAACTGGATGATTGTAACAGGCACAGGCCGAGCTAGACCAGTGGCAATGCTAGCTGGTATGCTGAACTGTCCAAACAACCATGTGACCAGTGTCTATCTCAAAGGTTGGTCATCCAGCATTGGCAGCAGCCAAGGCACAGTAAATGTGTTGTGGCTGAGAGTGTGTACCTTGGTAGCCTTGGGGTCTTCAATCTGCTTTGCGCTAGCTTCCATGACCATGGAATTTTCTATCAAAAGATCTGGGTGGGTACATATACACACACACACACTCCTGAGAGGCCTGCTGTAATGAGATGAAGTGTCACATAGCCCCTCCGATCACAAGACTGTGACCTCAACATAGCACCATGCCAGTGCAGCTGGTGCCCAGCAGAGGAGTCTGGACCATGTACTGTACATTACTACAACACACACACGCCAATTCCAGCTTCACAGTACACAAGAAATAAATGTATGCGATGGCAACAAAACAGGTCAAAATAAAACATTTGCAGACCTAGCAAACAATCTATTATTGCACATACCACAAGATTTCAGGGGATTGCCAGCTTTAATTCAAATGTAGAACAACAATTCAACTACCATATGAAGGCCAGTAAGACTGAGATTACTGGGAGCTTGTTAGATGCTTATGACACAGCAACACTTAAAGAAGAGCCAAATGTCCTCCTGTATAAACATTAACAGTGCATTCAGGAAGTTACATTTTGTTATGTGGTGTTACGATTAAATCAGGTTTACAAATTCCAACACCAGCAAGATGTTGAATAAGTCAAATGTCTGGAACAACATCCACTGTCACAACGGTGTACCGTCTACAGTTGGAAGTGGGACAAGTGCATGTTACATGTTCATGTGTGTTTACACACATACACACACACACACAGTGGTGTGGTGACATAATGTATGAGGTTAACCTTCATCAAGAGGTGACACAGATTACAACACACACAGGAGGTGTAATGTCCAGACTTAACCCATACAAGCATGTCAGAGTTAAAAAACACACACATCCCTGTTCAGGTGAAAAACATGGCATAATGGCCATCTGTAAACCTGCTGTTTACAATAGCTTACAAGAAGCTTCTTGGTACGAAGTTAAAATTGTTTCTAGTGTGCGTGTTGCGTAAAGTCACAAAAAACATCACACACACACAAGATATGGTCACAGCTGGTCAGCACACGTTCCACCACTTTATGCCTGTAATATCCACGCACAAATACAGTATGAGTCAGCACAATGCCTTTCAGAGACGTTCTACTTGTGTGCTACGCATGTATGAATTTATGTGTGGAAATGACTCAGTGAAATGTGTCAAGCTGAAAGTACAAGACTGGGGACATGCTACAGTGTGGAAAAACTGGACATCACATTAATCTGCCATTTACACTTTTTTTTTCCTTCTTGCATAGCAGCATAAATTTTTACATGCAGAGAAGACCTGATCATGACCAGTATTTGTTAACTGGTTTTGATGAACTCATACATCACAACAGCCAGTTGCATAGGGCAACACACATGTGACAATTAGTTGCATTAGTGCGAGTGTGACCAGAACTTCAATACCATCTTTAATATGGTATCATAGGGCATTTACAATATTTTTGCAAATTAAAAATCCATTTCTCAGTGACAGCAATGGGGCAAAAGCCTAAAACTGCAGCTGCCACATGACCAACTGACTGAGTCCGCATGGTCCTAATTCCCATTTTGGCAATGGCGATTGGTGCCTACAAAGAAGAACCAGCTGTTCCAGTTTTGCACTGGGTTTACAATATGACAAACAGATCTCCACAGGAACAAACTCTTCTTGAAGATATTTCATAGACTAAACAATTAATGGACAAAATGATGATCAGGTTATTCTATAGTGAAATAAACATCAGTTGAAGGCCTGGGTCACAGTAATGGTGGGTAAAGGGACTATATGTACTGCAACCTTGCCTTATCTTTTCCATTGTGTGCAATGTTGTAAATT